AACGACTAGGCATAGTTGACAGAGGCTCCGCCTTCTGTCTTAGCATGCACAGTTGCTTTCAAAAGACTAGGTGTGCTTGACAGTCTCTGCCTTCTTTTGGCGCATATGCAGTTGCTTTTAAAAGATTAGGTGTGGTTGACAGAGACTCTGCCTTCTGTCTGTGCAGGTCAGTTACTTTTAAATGCCTAGGTGGGGTTGAAAGAGGCTCAGCCTTCCCTCTGCTCCTGTTCAGTTTCTTTTAAATGACTAGGTGTTGTTCAACGAGGCTCCGCCTTCCTTCTGCATCTGAGCAGTTGTTTTAAAAGACTTGGTGTGGTTGACAGAGGCGCCTCTTTCTGTCTTCGCATGCGCAGTTGCTTTCAAAAGACTAGATGTGGTCGACAGAGGCTCTGCCTTTTTTCTGCGCATGTGCAGTTCCTTTTAAAAGACTAGGCATTATTAATGGAGGCTCTACCTTCCGTCCGCGCATGTGCAGTTTCTTTTAAAAGACTACCTGTGGTTGACAGAGTCTCTGCTTTCTGTCTGCTCGTGTGCAGTTGCTTTTAAAAGACTAGGTTTGATTGACAGAGGCGCTGGTTTCCATCTGCGCATGCGCAGTTGCCTTTAAAAGACTGTGGTTGACAGATGCTCCGCCTTCCCTCTGCACCTAAGCAGTTTCTTTTAAAAGATTAGGTGTTGTTGAAAGAGCTCTGCCTTCCCTCTGCACCTGAGAATTTGCTTTTAAAAGACTAGGTGTGGTTGACAGATGCTCCGCCTTCTTTCTGCACATGTGCAGTTGCTTTTAAAAGACTAGGCATTATTGATACAGGCTCTTTCTTCTATCTGCTCATGCACAGTTTATTTTAAAAGACTAGTCGTGGTTGACAGAGGCTCCGCCTTCCGTCTGCACCTGAGCAGTTGATTTAAAAGACTAGGCTTGGTTGACAAGAGTTGCTGCTTTCCCTCTGCGCATGCGTCGTTGCTTTTAAAAGACTAGGCATGTTTGTCAGAGTCTCTGCTTTCTGTCTGCTCGTGTGCAGTTGCTTTTAAAAGACTAGGCGTGGTTGACAGAGGCTCTGCCTTCTGTCTGCACCTGAGCAGTTGGTTTAAAAGACTCTTTGTGGTTGACAGAGGCGCAGCTTTCCCTCTGCACCTGAGAAGTTGCTCTTAAAGACTAGGCGTGGTTGACAGAGGCTCTGCCTTCTGTCTGCACATGTGCAGTTGCTTTTAAAGACTAGGCATGGTTGACAGAGGCTCCTCCTTCTGTCTGTGCCTGTGCAGTTACTTTTAAATGCCTAGGTGGGGTTGAAAGTGGCTCCGCCTTCCCTCTGCTCCCGTGCAGTTTCTTTTAAATGACTAGGTGTTGTTGAAAGAGGCTCTGCCTTCTGTCTGCACCCGAGCAGTTGCTTTAAAAGATTTGGTGTGGTTGACAGAGATTCAGCTTTCTGTATGTGCATGCACAGTTGCTTTTAAAAGACTAGATGTGTTGACATAGGCTCCGCCTTCTTTCTGCACATGCGCACTTGCTTTTAAAACACTAGGTGTGGTTGACAGATGCTCCAACAGATGGACTCGCTGAACATAGCGAACAATGAGGACTACTGAGAACTCAAGAACAATGGCAATGGTTTTTTGATCCTACTGCACATACTGGCTTTGGGGGAGCCTAGGCAGTTTGGATGCTCACCTTACTAGACCTGGATGGAGGTGGGTGGTCCTTGGACTTCCCACAGGGTAGGGAACCCTGATAGCTCTTTGGGCTGATGAGGGAGGGAGGGGGATTTGTTTGGGGGGGGGGGAGGGAAATGGGAGGCGGTGTCGGGGAAGAGACAGAAATCTTTAATAAATAAATAAACGGAAAAAATAAAAAAAATAAAAATAAAATAAAAAAAGACTAGATGTGGTCGACATTGGCTCCGCCTTCTCTCTGCTCATGTGCAGTTTCTTTTAAAAGACTAGGCCATATTGATAGAGGCTCTGCCTTCCGTCTGCGCATGTGCAGTTTCTTTTAAAAGCCTACCTGTGGTTGACAGAGGCTCCTCCTTCCTTCTGCACCTGAGAAGTTGTTTTTAAAACACTAGGTGTGATTGAGAGGCGCTGCTTTCTGTCTGCGCATGTGCAGTTGCTTTTAAATGACTAGATATGTTGACATAGGCTCCGCCTTCTTTCTGCACATGCGCAGTTGCTTTTAAAACACTAGGTGTGGTTGACAGATGCTTCCCCATCCCTCTTCACCTGAGCAGTTTCTTTTAAAAGATTAGGTGTTGTTGAAAGAGGCTCCGCCTTCCCTCTGCATCTGAGAAGTTGCTTTTAAAAGTCTAGGTGTCGTTGATAAAGGCGCCGCTTTCTCTCTGCGCATGCGCAGTTGCTTTTAAAAGATTAGATGTGGTTCACATAGGTTCCGCCTTCTGTCTGCACCTGCGCAGTTGCTTTTAAAAGACTTTGCATGATTGACAGGGCCTCCTCCCTTCTGCGCCTGCGCAGTTGCTTTTTAAAGACTGTGGGCGTGAACGGAAATGGATTATGCTGTATCCGCTTTTCTTCAACTGCCGTTATTTTCTGGTGTTCTTCGAGGCCAGTGAAGCCTTCAGGAAGCTTCTTTGAGCATCCGTGAGGAACCGTAGGAACTTCTGTTTCTCAAGGTATTGTCTGGAATATTCTCCCCTCAATCCAGAGACCTTCCTAAAGCGATCCATTCCAAATTACCCTATCCCACCTCTCCCATTTATTGTGGGTGTCTTAGACTACTGCCGTTGTCATGTGCCGCTGCCACTTGACAGTCAGGGTTTCAATGTGTGTAGAGAGAAACAGCCGTTAGAAAAGGGAGAAACAGTACTCGTCCGGAGGAAAGTTCATATTGTGAGCTTGAACTGAGATAACACGGTCTAAATTGCCCTTTCCCTTTTCGGTTACTAAGTCAGTTTAAGGAAACAAGGCGAGGTAACCTTTCATGGAGTAATAATAGGATCTACCAACAGAGACTGTACAAATTATGTCATCCTCTGTTTTCCAGGATGATCTCTTCCCTAACCTGTTTGTATTACTATCTGTGTTCCCCACTACAGTCATCATGCCTCGTGGCCAAAAGAGCAAGCTCCGTGCCCGCGAGAAGCGCCGTCAGGCCCGTGACCAAAATACAGTGGAGGAACCAGCCTCACCCGATCCTTCCTATGAGGGTCCAGATCAGGCTAGTCCTGCTGCTGGTATGCCTACACCTCCGAACAAGCTGCAGGGGGCACACTGTACCTTTTCACACACATATGAAAATACAGGTGCCAGAAACCAAGATGAGAAAAGTTCAGATGATTCTGATGACATCGAGGTCTGGAGTAAAGATCCGACAAACCGCAAAGTAGTCTTACTGGTACAGTTCCTGATAGAGAAGTATCAAAAGAAGGAGGTTATTACAAAGGCAGATATGCTGAAGCGTGTTATCAAAACATCAAAAAACCACTTCACTGAGATCCTAAAGAGAGCCACAGAGCACATGGAACTAGCCTTTGGTGTTGATCTGAAGGAAGTCGATCCTATCAGACACTGCTATGCCCTTTTCAACAAACTAGACCATACCTATGATGGAGTAAAGGAAGAAAAAATGCCCAATACTGGGCTATTAATGATAGTTCTTGGTGTGATCTTCAAGAAAAATAACTGTGCCTCTGAAAAGGAGGTCTGGGAAGTGCTGAATGTGATGGGTGTATATGCTGACAAGAAACACTTCATCTACGGAGAGCCTAAGAAAGTTATCACTGAAGATTTGGTCAGGCTGAAGTATCTGGAGTACAGAAAAGTGCCCAACAGCAATCCTCCATCCTTCGAATTCACATGGGGTTCCAGAGCCCAGGCTGAAATCAGCAAGATGAAAATCCTGGAGTTTTGGGCCAAGATCCATGATACTACACCAGAAGCCTTTGGATCCTTGTATGAAAAAGCTGTGAAAGATGAAGAAGAAAGAGCTCAAGCCAGGTCTGCAGCAAGGGCTCGCACTGCTGCTATGTCCAGTTCACATTCGAAAGCCATGGCCAGCAGCTCCTCCCATGCTAAGTAATAGCTAAGGGTATTTCCTCACTATTTGTTTAAAAAGGTATGGCAGCTACCTAATAGTGGAGGGCTAATATGGGTTGAGGGGAATAAGTGCTTATATTTCTTTCTCTGTTGTATATTTGTAACTTCCAGTTTTACCTTTTTTCCTCTTTTGATTCTAGGTTATATTTTAAAGGTTGAAGTCTGACGATGTCCTGTGTGGAAATTAAAGACAGTGAGCATTTTAAGTTGTAGATGGGCAGCACAGAAGGAGCACATTGAATACCGTCATCGCTTTTCTCAGCTACATTTGTTGTTTTGTTTCATTTTGTTGTTTTGTGTATTATTTCAGATGTTTTTTTCAATAGACTTTAATACATTTTTATAAAATTACAAATAAATTTGCTTATACATTTATTGCCCTTTAAAAGTTTAAGCTGTTGTGGGAGGAGAGAAGCACTTTTATTTAGGAATGTGACCACTGGTGAGTTCTTCATGCTCCCGTGGATGAACTCACAGCTATGCCCGTATGCATAGCACTAATTGGACTTATTTTTTGTTTTGAAAAAGAAGTATGAGAAGAAAGGAAGAAGTCTACATCTGTTTGAATTTACCAGTCTATTCAATCTTAGTGTTTTATTGGCTCAGTGACTAAAATCTGGATCAAAATATAGTCACTAGCAAGTTAAATAACAATATCAAAAAAATGGGAAAAGTAAGAGAGGATAAATACTTAGTTTTTCGTTTTCCTTATTTCACTTTGTTGTATAAAAATAAAATGCATATACTTTGATGTTTTTATCTTACTAGTAATATAGGTGTTAATAAAGCATTTTAAACTGTAATTCATGCTTACCAGCTTACTCATTATCTAAAGTTAATTTGCATTTAGTGTTTGTGGTGTTTGGAGAAAGGGTTTCCATTTGTAACAGTCCTAGCTGTCCTGGAACTTGCTCTGTAGACTAGGCTGGCCTCTAACTCACTGAGATCCCCCTGCCTCTGCCTCCAAAGTACTGGAATTAAAGGAGTGTGCCAGCACTACCCAGCTAGCATCTAGTCTTTGAATGCCATTCTGTTAGAAATGGAGACTTATGCATACTGGGTGAGGGAAAATCAGTTTTCTCCAATAGAGTAACACTGGGTATATCAATGAGTGATTGATACTCAATGAGTGAGGACTGCACAGTCCTCACATTCAGAAATAGTTGAACAATATATAATGTGGTTCCACTGTTTTTTTTTGTTTGTTTCTTTCTTTTGGTGTGTGTGTGTGTGTGTGTGTGTGTGTGTGTGTGTGTTGTGTATTTGGTTACTTTGATGTTTTCATTTTGTTCTGTTTCTTTTTGGTGGGGTTTTATTTTGTTTTCTGGGTATTTCAGGGAGTTGTTTTTGTATTGGGTTTTTTTTTTTTTTTTTGAGAAACAACTTAAAACTGGATGAATCAGAAGGAAGAGAAGAACTGGAAAGACTTGGAGGAATCATATGATCAAAATAATTTAAAAAAAGGTTTTTAAATACTAAAGGATTTGGTTGTAAGCCTATCCTTTAATGGCTAAGCCATCTCTCCAAGAAAAGGCTAATCAGACTATAATCCACAACCCCTGAGAGGCTAGATAGCAAGGAAGAACATGCATGGAGTGGATGCCCCTGGGGAAAGGAAATAGAGAGGATCTTGTAACATGACAGCCTGCTTGTCACCCGGCTGCCCGGCTAGATTAGTCCTGAAATAATCACACAGAAACAGTATTCATTAAAATACTGCTTGGCCCATTAGCTCAGGTTTCATATTAGTTCTTATAATTTACATTAACACATGATTTTTATCTATGTTAGCCACATGGCTCAGTACCTTTTTCAGTGGGGTAGATCATATCCTGCTGCTTTGGTATCTAGACAGGACTGGGGATCAATGGGCTTCCTCTTTCCCAGAATTCTGTTCTAATTGCCCTGCCTCTACTTCCTGTCTGGTTGTCCTGCATATACTTCCTGCCTGACTACTGGCCAATCAGCATTTATTTAAAACATAATTGACAGAATACAGAATTGTCCCACACCAGGATCTCCTGAATAAATTGGAAGGGGGAGAGGACAGAGGGGTGAACAGGAGGGAGGAAGAGAACATGAGGGAACTGGATGGTTGAGTTGGGGAAGCAATAGAAAGGAATGATATGGAATTCCCCTCTGTATGCTGTGAAAGTGTTTTGTTACCATTGGTTAATAAAGGAGCTGCTTTGGGCCTCTGGTAGGGCAGAATAGAGCAAGTCAGAAATTCGAAGCAGAGATACAGGAGAAAAGTATGTGGAGTTAGAGAGATGCCATGTAGCAATTGAGGGAGACAGACACCCTGGAACCTTGCAAGTAAACAGTGAGCCTTGTGGTCAAATACAAAATAATAGAAATGGGTTAATTCAAGATGTAAGAGTTAGTTAATAAGAAACCTGAGCTAATAGTCCAAGAAGTGTTGTAGTTAATATAGTCTCTGTGTGATTATTTTGGGTCTGGGCATCCAGGAACGAACAAGCAGTCACTGCCTACAGAGGGAGAACAAGGAAAGTGATATCTCGATAGAGGGAGCCATTATGGGGTTAGGGAGAAATCTAGTGCTAGTAAATCTCACAGGAATCCACAAGGATGACCCCAGTTAAGAATCTAAGAAATAGTGGAGAGGGTGCCTGAACTGGCCTTCCTCGGTAATCAGATTAGTGACTACCCTAATTGTTATCATAGAACCTACACCCAGTAACTGATGAAAGCATCTATAAAGATCCATAGCCAAGCACTCGTATAAGCTTCTGGAGTCCAGTGGAAGAGAGGGAGGAGAGATTATGTGAGCAAGTGTGTGGGGGGGTCAATATCATAATGGGGAAACCCACAGAGACAGCTGACACAGCTTGTGGGCGCTCACTGATTCTCAACTGACAGCTAAGGAGCCTCCATGGGACTGAACTGGGCCCTGGGTATTCTGTGGTGCCACTAACAGTGAGACCAGAACTTATGCCTAAAGCTTGATCTGGATTTTCAGAGCCCATTCCCTATGGAGTGATGCCTTGCTCAGCCTAGATACAGCAGGGATGGGTTTGGTCCTGCCTCAACTTGATATGTCAGACCTTGCTGACTCCCAATGGAATGCCTTACCCTCTCTGAGGAGTGGATAGGCTTTGAGGGGAGATGGGCAGAACAGGAGGAGGGAGGAATGGGGAACTGAGGTTGGTTATGTAAAATGAAAACAAAAACTTTTAAATAAAAAATATATAGTAAATATTTTAAGAAAAGAAGTGGGGAAACTAAGATACAAGATACCCAGCCTCTCTGCTTAGAGTTTTCTAGTTAAGTAACAATAAATGTATGAGGAGGAAAATGAAATGACTTTTAAATCCTAAGGAATAAAGAGGTGAAAAGATAGGAAAGGTTGCAGGAAAGGTTTTCAAGGGGATATGTAGCTAAAAACAGTTGGCAAAAAATTATTGGAGTAAAGGCCTTTTGTAACTCCAAGATACAGTGATCTATGATTGAACCTTTTTTTGTGAGTGGGCTTCACATAACATACATGCATAAAATAAACACAGATAATTATATTCAGAAAAAATACATTGGCAGTGAACAAGTACAGATTTTTTCTTGTCTTAATTCCATAAGCAATGCAGTATAATAATTGACATAAGGAGGATGTAAATAGAACATGTGAATATCATACTATCATAATATTTTATATAAAACACACAAATGGGTATTGGTATTAAGTATCAAGAACATGCATCGCTCATCGGTGGTGGCCTATGTCTTTAATTCCAGTGCTTGGGAGGCAGAGACTGTTGGATCTCTGTAAATTCTAGGCCAACCTAGTCTAGTTCTAGGGCAGGCTCCAAAGCTACACAGAGAAACTCTGCCTCAAAATAAAAGAAAAGAAGAACAAGTGTTATAGAATTATTCCCACCAACACATGAGGTACTTTTGTACTTTTAATTTTAGTGAAGTAGCTAAAAACAGTTGGTAAAAATTCATTGGAGGAAAGGCCTTTTGTAACTGCAAGATACAGTGACACATGAAAACTGGTGACCAATGACAAGATGCTCACACTGTGTCTCATCATAGAAGGATAAAATCTTGAAATATAAGTGCCCCTTCATTTTTTGGTTTTTCAAGACAGGGTTTCTTTGTGTAACAGCCCTGGCTTTCCTGACTCTGTAGCCAGAGCACTCGCTCTGTAGACCAGGCTTGGAACTCACAGAGATCCACCTGCCTCTGCCTCCTGAGAGTACTGGGATTAAAGGCATGCATCATTACTGCCTGGATTTTTTTTCCTTCTCTTTGAAAAGGAGCACAGGCAGGAAAGTTGGAAAAGTGGAGCAGGCCAGAGGAGATGAGAAGAAAAATGTGTAGCCCAGGCTAGCCGCAAACTCATGATCCTCCTGCTTCTGCCTCCTTCAGCAAATCCTATCAGTGCCACCACAACTGGCTAAAAGCCAGGCAACTCTGGTGAGGAGAGATGGGAAAACCAAGCCTGTCATCAGGACAAGCCCACATCCACAAGCCTGCTGCCATTCTTTGTTAATCAGACAGTGGCTGAGAACAATTGCTTTTTTTTTTTTTTCATTTTTCAGGACAGGGTTTCTCAGTATAGCCTTGACTGTCCTGGAACTCGCTCTGTAGACCACATTGGCCTCAAATTCACAGAGATTTACCTGCCTCTACCTCCTGAGTACTATAATTAAAGGCGTGTGCCACCACTGCCTATTTTCTTTTATTTTAAGAAAAAAGATTTATTTATTTATTTATTTATTTATTTATTTATTTATTTATTATGTATGCAGTGTTCTACCTGCATGTAAACATGCAGGCCAGAAGAGGTCATCAGATCTCATTATGGATGGTTGTGTGTGCCATGCGGTTGCTGGGAACTGAACACAGGATCTCTGGAAGAGCAGCCAGTGCTCTTAACCTCTGAATCATCTCTCCAGCCTCTGTGCACCCCGCCCCCACCCTGCTTAAGACATCATTTCATTGCTAATTAAGTAACTTACACCCTAATGGGGAAAATTGTATATGTATTTCCTGAAAAGAATTATGCAATTTTGGTACTAATTGTCTTAGAATGTACAGGCAGTTCTGAATTAAAAAATAAATTTTATCAGAGGTGAGGATAGCATTATATGTTATAAAATGATAACTTTTACAACTGTCATTCTTCAGACCTAATTTCTATAATTTCTTTGCCAAGTCAACTGCTTTGTATCCATTATATGCATTCCAACCCCCCCCCAGTGAGATGGCATATCAGATGTGATTATAAAACTTGGAATTAAATTAATTATCTTCTGTCTTAAAATTATTTTTATGTTCTCTTAAGACAGAGCCTTTCTATGCTGCTTCTGCTGTCCTAGAACTCACTAGGATCACCTGAGCAAGCCTGAAATATGTAAATCTTCTACCTTCACCCCCTAAGTGCTGTCATGAGAG